AAGCTAAGGAAACGAGCAAATGAAGTTAAACGTTTATCTACCAACCCCAGGCTCTGAGATTCTTTAGCTACTTTTAGTTTGCAATATCGTTGGCTGTATAGTTATATTAACTGCACGATATAATTTTATTCCAATATATCTGGTCGATGCTTTATAATCTAATTGGACACTTAAAATTAGTTTGAAAGGACTATCAAAGAAAACTCTAATTTAACATTGTCTAACTGACAATATAATGTCTTACAACCCAAAATATATAATAATACGGTTCAATTTATAGAAATGCCAAATACTGTAGCTGACATACTCAATACAAATAAACGTATAAAACTCCTTATAATGTCCAATTAGTTGTTAGTATATTTGTACAATAGATACAATACGCATGTTTTGTTTTTATTATTTATTTTAAGTGTATAATAGTTACACAGCACACACTGTTTTTAATATTAAAACACTTGCTGCGTTGAAAAAATAACAACTAAAAGAAAAAAGGTAGGTAAGAGAGTACCACTCTGCTATACATTAAATGTACGAATGAATTACTATTATAGGCTTGTTCAATTTGAATTTAATGATATATCATTGTATACGAAAAATAATTCTTAGCGGAAACAGTCTATCAGCCTATATAACAAATTAATAATTTTTTTTTTTTTTTAATATAGCTATTAAAGACATTCATTGCAAAAGAAAAAATTAATTTAACTTTCTAGAAGAATTATTTTTTCACATATAGATTGAAAAACTAATATGACCTTATATTAAATTTTTATATCTGTGGTATAAATACAAAAATGTTTATAAATTTCCAACTACAAAATAATTACAAATTTTTTCAATATTTATTAATTTTGTCAAAATTCTAATTAATAAAAATATATTGTGACCATGTATTTTTGATATTTTTTAACTGAGAAATTATCAACTTATGAGAAACTTTGTATTAATTTTTCAAGCATACTTACCAAGCAAATAATTTTTAATCGACATGTATTTCATAAAAAGAAAATTAAAAAAAATATATCCTAATTCTATAAAGAGCTCAAAATAATTTAAAAATTTTATTGTACATAGAATATGATAAAACAAAAATGCTATGAAAAATCCAAGTATCTACAACTATTCGTTTTCGAATAACGTAAACAAAATAAAAATCGATTTCGTGAAAAAATGGATTTGAATAAAAATTCTTAAACTCCTTAATTTTTTATTTATTTTTCTCAACTATAAAAATAAATACTGGGAATTTTTAAGTAAAAACTAGATTCATTTTATTTTCTTTATTTTTGAAAATTGAAGCATTTTATCGACAATTTATTGTATACTTATACTAAAAAAAAAAACACACACACACATCATAATAAAATCAATACATTCATCGTTCCTCTAAGAATCTAAAATAAAATGCATTATGTTTATTACAGTATTTAGAGTATGCATAATACTGTATATTTATGTATTAAACATATTCCTTCCCTAGAATTAATTAATAAACCTCTTAACCTTGTGTTAATTAAGAACAAAAAATGTAATAAAATTTTAAAAGATGTAAATAAGTATTTATTCTTATTATGTTTCTTTATATTAAAAATATTCTAAACTTTCTTCAGTCTTGAGCCTCATCTAATGCCTGCTTTGCTATATCGAAGCAGTACCAGTATTTAAATGCTTAGTTATATTAATTTTGTAATAGATATCTATTGCTAACAATTATTTTCTTGAGTGCAAATAATTAATTTTATAGTGAATATATTTTTAATTTGTATTTTCCAATAAATATATTATTGTATAATCCAAACTTAAATTAAGTTTCATAACAAATAAAACTATTATATTTTTATTTGTCTAATTGTTTTTTTAAGTCACATGACAATGCATTAAATATTTTTATTAAAAAAAAAAAAAATCATAAATGATAGAGTATTCAAAGTTTTTATGGGATAATATATTATATTATTAATAATACTTATTTTATGAATGTTAAATACAATCATTATTCATTTTATTGAAACATCTATATAATTAATATCTTAATGTCTCTAAGTATAGTTTACACGATTCCTCGACATTCTTTAGTCTTTAAAATGCAAAGATAATTTTGAACTAGGTATTATTAAAATATTTTATATAATTTATGTGTATTTATTCTATCATAATTTATGACGCAGACAACTGACTTAAACATTTTTAATAAAACACCTATTCAATTCATACTTACTACACAACCAAATATTTTTTAACTCACGAATATACTTGACATTTATTTAAATTGGGTAAATTACTAAATCAACTATTAATATTAATAGTAATGCTATAAGATAATTTAAAAAATTTTTTTCTCAAGGTTTGGAAAATTTTTACCCAGATTACTTTATCTTGAAGTTTTGGATACTTTTAGTAATAATAGAATATAAGACTTAAAACTTTAAAATAATATGACATACCTACAATTATTAATTTATAATTTCATAGATATTATTTGAAAATTTCATACATTTATTGTTTTTTATTATTTTTCTTCATTTTTATCACTTTTTTATCACTTTTTCCGTTATTTATCGTTAAGGTTTTTTTTTAATAAAGATTTCAACACAAACAGATTCCATTTCGTTTTTTTTTTTATAATCACGTATATGAATAATTTAAATAAATTAATATTTTATTATTACGTAATGTCTCAGTAATTTTTATTTTATCTATTATGAATTATATAAAATAGAAGAAAACATAAATTAATTAATTAGAGCTAGGATATGCGATAAAAAATTGTAAAATATTAGTTTACATTATTATATACTGTTATATGTTGCTATAAATTTTCAAATATGAACGACCTACGATTGGAAAAAATAGATTTGTATTGACTATAACTCCTTTTCACATCACACAATATTATTGGAACATATTTAAAAGACGCGATTTGTCCCTGAGTTAAAGTAATATTAACATTTTTTTCCATTTTATATTCACCATTTTAATGTTACGAATTTTTAAAAATGTTTTGTATCCCTTATTTTTCTTAAGTAACAAGTCCATTTTAGTTATACCAACTATGCTACTCTCTCATTACATTTAAATAGTTTATTTTCACGCTTAAAACAACTTTTAAGCTTTCATCAAGATATAGTATACTTTTTTCTAAGTTAGTAATTGCTTCGATGAGAAAATAAAAATTACTTTTTAAGTAAGCTAAATAATTCTTTTAGTTTTTAATTTATTCGTTTTCTAAATGTGATATTACAGATTTTATTGAAACAAAATTATTTAAATGGTGTTTTACTGAATTTAACCATGTTCCCCATTTAGTTATAAATGGTTGGGGTGGTAAAGGCAAATCCGAGAATAATTCACGTAGTTTGATAATTCAGCTGGGAGCTTTTAAAAATACTTTTTTAACCGTCCCTATTAATTTATCAACAGCAAAATATTCGTTTCATAAACATTCGCTAATTCTATGAACCCCGTGGGATAAACATATTAAATCAATTAAATTAGGGAGTAATATAGTCAGAGAATCGACAGATTTAACCACACATGACGTTGCGTCAGAAACAAAAAAATTAACTTTTTCGTACTTCAGTCCTGATGGCCATAACAGGTACATTATTAAGTATTTTACTAATAGTTTGGAAATTGAATTTTTATAATTCTTCACATATTAATAGATATAGCTTAGAATTATTTTCTTTGTGGAGATAACCAACTATGACGTTAAATATATTAGCCGTCAACATTTGTAGTCTTGTCTATTAAAACTCAAATTGGCCCGTAACAAATTTGAATATGATATATATAATAATATTTTCATAAGCTATATAAACATAATTTTTGCGAAGTTTAGATGGTTAAGGAACACACCTACTATAGTATATTTTTCTAAAAAGTTCTTAAATGATTGATAATTTAACTTTCATAAAGGTATATCAGATTCTAACATTGCTTGATATAAATCTAAAAAAAAATGTGATTGTTTATATTGGTTATGTAATATATTTTTAATGAATGAATATGTAGATTTAGATTTTAAATTAGTATTTTTTTAAATATTTGCTTGTATTTAAACGTTGTACTATCTGAAAACGTTTTGTTACTGGCACAGCTTGATCAAAAATAATATAATATAATATTTTGCCATTTTTTTTTTAAAAAACTTCGCTGAAAATTCTTCAATGAATTAACGCAACTTGGCACATTTACTTTGAACTTTTGGCATTTTATAAAAACGGTGCTGTTATTAAAATCACTCAAGTTATTAATTATAAATGTTCGTATCTTTACGTAACACACGTCGTACTAATGAAATGAAATACTTCAGTAATGTCTCATAATATACATTGTTAAAATAAAATGTAAGTAATTCTATTAGTCGTCCAACCACGATAAGATTAGATATTATATGTACAACAATACGACACAAAACGCAATAATATTATAGACGTTCATTAAATAAATATCATTTAAAATTAACAAAATTCTTAAAAATCTATATACATGCAATTAATTATATGCATTATGTTAACATAATGCAAAAGTATGCAAAAAACAATGATTCTATTTTGGTCGCAATTAATAATTACGTACGGCACGGTTTACCTATTTATACACAATCACTTAATAAAGGTACACAACAGTATTTGTCTCAACGTAAAATGTTACATATTAAGCTTCGTAATTATATGTATATATTTGCGTAAATCCCCCGACAATTGACCCTATAGTCGTAATTTCGGTGCAATACTAGTTAGGATTGTCAATAGTCAGTCGTTGAATACATAGAGTCTATAAATGACTGTAGGTAAAAAATGCTTAAGTAGAAAAATGTATCATATATCATCACTTAATATAGTCGGAGAGTATATGTAGTTTTATCACTAAATAATAAATGTACTTTTTTTTTTGTTTTGTTTTATATCGTCAACATATGAACGATTTATAGGTACACATTTTATTCGTTAAAAAAAAAGTTAAAATATTGAACTATATAATAATAAACTTACTTTGGTGTAATAGATTCCAGAAGATTTTCATCGAGACAGTCAACACATTGAATAATTTTTTCAGGGTCTGCAGGAATGGGATATAAATGTTCTTCAACATCTTGTCGGTTGCAATTACAATATGCAGTGGAAACGTGTACAAAGGCCTAAAACATTTATTATGTACATAAAATATAATATAATAGGTATTATGCGAGTATGTGTGAGAGAAAGAGAAACACGTGCATATAAAAAGTAAATCATAGATAGTTTATTTAAATCTAAAAGTTTGGACATAAATATATGTACCTAAGAATAAATTTAAATGGTTTCGATGTTTTTAAGTATTTCTTGATGAATTATTTATTATACGATTTAGTTAAAAATGTATAACTATTTAAATTTTTAATTTAATTACTTATGTAAATCGAATTTTAATTTTTTTTTTTTTTTGTTATTTTATAATTTATATTTACAAGGTGATCACAAGTCTATAAACTCATTATTTCAAAACGTTAAGACTTTTTTAAAAATATTATTTTTTGCATAATCTGATGTTATAGCGAATAAGTTATGAGTTTCCATAATAATGAGCAGGGCTTGGAATTTTTAATAAATGCATATTTTTTGAGTAAGTTATAAAAGATTGAAAGTAAAATACAAATTTGTACCACACTTTTCTAACGTAGTATAAGAAATTTTATTTTATTTATTTATGCATATTTAGATTTTTAAGTGCTATTTATTGTAATATTTTTATATAATAATATAAAAAAAAAAAAAAATGAAGGAAAAATGAAGGAAATAAATAATACAAGATACAACTCCAATAAAGTATACAAATATGCGAATGAATATATGTATTTTGATTTTAAAATAGTAGATACGTTATCGGTTATTATAACTGATCACATTGAACAATTTATCTAGAGTCAAATAAAATATCCTACTACTATATTCTATAAAAAAAATATATAAAATTCATAAAATTAAAAATTAAATAAAAATTTTTTTGACAATTTTATTTTGTATACTTATCAATTTCTGGTGTTTAAAACACTAAAAATTTATTTTTTTTTGGTGATATAACTTTGAAGCCCCGATATAAACATAGATTTAATGGATTACTTCGTACATTGTAAAGAAATTTGTGAAATTTATTTAAATTAATATTTATAATTTTAAAATTTTAAACAAAAAATACTCATATTTTTATAACATATTATGGTTAAATTGTATTATAATAATTAATAATTATGTACTACAACATATAACGTTTAATATAATGACAGAGTTACCGCTACACCTTAAAAGTACAATATTTCCCAATTCATAAAGTGTGTTACTTTTGTCAAATCCATTTGGATAGATGTTGTTTATAATTTATAAAATTGGCAAATTATGGCGCTTTTTATGTCAATATGAGCACATAATTAATAATAAAATACACATTAATCGTTTTGTGCCTTCATTGGGCAATAAGTAAGTTAAAAATTCATAAACTATCTGATTCACATGCACGTTTATAACGTGACACAAACAGGCACAAATAATAATTTTTTAATAGTTTTATCTATTTAATACAAGCTATACATAAAATATTTTACCTGGCGGTTTTATCATTGTTCTTATATATTTTAACGAACTATTTTTTTTTTTTTTTTTTTTTAACACACAAGTATATTTTCAATTAAGTACCTACTAAAAGTTTTAATGTTTAAAAATATATTTCTTTAAACACAATCTAAAGTTTATTAAAGAAACGTCAATTCATTTCCGACTTTTTGTAATAAATCATTTATATTCTCTACAACTGCCACAACTATTTAAAGACTGAAAGACTGTCTACACTATACATCCATTAGCTAATAGTATTTGTATACATACAATTTCAATTTAAACATATTTTATGTACGTTATTACTAAATTAATTTGTTTTTAAATAAATTTTTTAATTTATAAACATCGCCTTCTCTGGATTAATGTTAAACTTAAAATATAGTCTGTCGAGAGAACTTTAACCTATCAATATTAAAAAAATATATATATATTTTAATATCGAAATATTCCCAAAGTGCATACTACATTTACTCTAACTAATGAAGAAAATATTGATAAGTGATAATAGTAAAAAAGAAAAGTATTTTTTGTTATATAAGTCGTAGAGAGTATATTAATCAAAGAAGAATATGAAAATTTAGAATAATAATCATACTTTAATCTAACAATACATTTTTTCATAGGAAAATTAATTGTAATATTATATTTTAAGTATTTAACATTTGAAGTGTAGGTATAACACTAGAATGGGTGAATCCCGATTTTTTCTCATAATACTTAGTTCATTAAAATGTAACCATTTCTTTCCATCATGTTTACTGATAAATTCGTACGTAAACATGATTTCATCCCAAAGTAAATTAATTTCACCCTATCGCGATATTTATAAATTTATTGGAATTTTACTGCAAATGCAAGCTGATACTAATGCTGAAATTAATATATCAGTTAAAACAAAGGAAAGAAAGAATGTAAAAATAAAATACATTCAGCAAAAAATGAATAAAAATATGGGTAGTGAATTATTATTGTTATTATTATTATTATTATTATTATATTTTAGTTTGTGAAATCTGTATTGTATAGATACGCGCGCTATATATATAAATATTTTTTTTTTTTTTTTTTAATTTTAATATAGCTATAATAACTGTAAAATAAAAATAGATGATGACTTGAAATGATATTATGAAACTATTTCAAAAATAAACAAACTTAATTTTTACATCAATATCGAAAACAATTAGTGCATCTCGTGTGACGCTAGTTACACTGAGAAGGAATTGGGGCTAACCGTAACTTTAAATGGGAAGGAATTTAACTCCAAAACCTATGTACCTTGTATCCAAGCCTTTATGGTGAAGGAATCCAGTAATGCTGCTAGAATAGCTTATCCCACAAATCTATTATTTTAATAAATAACTCAAATGATAATTATCGCATATTTTTAAAATTATTTTATTTTTAAATTATTAATTTGTTATGAAATAAAAGTAAGTAGCTATAATATTTTTCATACTGTTATAATTTATGTTTTATTTTTATTTGACATTTTTTTTTTTTTTGAGTCAGTTATTTAATTAATGATGGTTAAAATGCTTTAGTTGATATTAATCATTAGAGCATAGTTAGCTAGCCCAGCTAATAACAATTTACAAAGTGACTAAAATGATAGAATCTACTATCCTAAAATTGAATTACACTGGTTTTTAAATAAATTATTTAGCTATTATTTAGTTAATGGAAAATAGCAAAAAAGGTCAATTTTGTATTGACTCCGACGGCTATTGATTCCGTCGACTATAGTTTATAATATCTACCTATTTACTTTGTTAGCTATTATTTCTAACATCTCTATATTGCTTTTTATATTTACATCTTCCTCATACAGTAAATAATAATAGCTATGATTATAATTTTATTTTATCATGTATTGCCAATAAATCTATATATTTTTCAGTTGGTATTATTACAGTAGCTATAATACCTTTAATTTTATCTAACTCTAAGTATAACGTTCTTCTTCCGTAATTTTTTTTTATTTCACATATTTTACAGAGAGTGATTCACCAAGTATACTCAATACAATTTTTTAATTTAACAATAAATTTATTGAAATTCTGATATTTGAAAATTTTATGTATACTTAAATCATATTTTCTAATCTGTGAGATTTTTTTTTACTACTTAAGAATTATCCTGTGGAGATTGCAACTTTTAGTTTTTAAATGAAAATTCGTCCTTTCTACTATAAATTATTTAAAGGATATTTTTTTTAAAAACGTTGATATCATCAGAATCAAAATTAGAACTAGTAGTTTTTTAATTATTTAACTTTTTGTACTAAGGATAATAAGTTCATGATAATAGATTTTAGTATATTTAAAAATTCTAAACATCAGAATTTCAATAACTTTATAATTAATTAAAAAAATTGTGGTAAATATACTTGATAAATCCCCTTGTACACAGATCATATAGACTTGAGCAATATGAGTATAAAAAGAAAATCCAAGTCATCTAACGAGGAAATTAAGTTATGACAAAAAAAGAGAATAAAAAAAAGTATTATGAAAAACGTAGGACAACAATATTGGGGGTTGATGAGCGAAGAAAACAGGAAGCAAAGTTCTCTAGTGATACGTATACATATTTAAAATAATAAACTTTAAAAAAAAAAAAAGTTGTATTGATTTGTTTATTTTATTCGTATTACCTGATTGCAATATCATGTAAATCATTTTAATTTACAAACACTTTTTTTAAATAAATCAAACATAATAAATAGGGCTCGGAAGTTGATGCATTTTTTTTTTTTTTTTTTTTGGAACTTAATTAGACGATGCTCATCTAGCCACAAATGTGTTACATATATTTTACACAAGTTATATACGGGTTAGGTAAAGCTAATAATTCGATAGAATAAGGCAATTGCTATTTATCATTTACTTTTGACGATATAAAATAGGTATGCTTTAATAGTACAATGTAATAATTTTGAGTAATTTTTATTATTATTACTATTTTAAAAAAAAAATATATATATATTTACTAGTTTTAAACAAATATTTATAATTTTTGGGTCATTTTTTGTAATTTTTTAGTTATATTTGCATATATATTTTCAAGTCATTTTTAATGTTCTTAAGGTCATCAACTTCAAGCCCTAATAATAAGTATTTATATGAATAAATAAATTTAACACAACTAAAACGAAATTTACTATAAATTAATTGTTTTAATATCAAAGTCAGTATCTAATACGAATATAAAAATTGCAATTTTTATAATTTTAAGTATGAACACTAGTCAACAAAATCAATAGTCGTCGATTCGATGTGTTACCTATATGCATAAAGTAATAGTTCATTATTAAACAAACAGTAGCCGAAAAAATGAAAATCATTAAGTTTATCTATGTTAGTAAATACTGAAATAAATTATTAAAATATAAGTCTAAAAAAGAAGTTTTGCTATCTAGAGGACATTTTATTTAGGTTTTTATCATTTGACAATAAAATATTATTTTACGTAGGTACTTCTATTTCAAAATGATTAATTTGGTAAAATATGATTACATTTTTTATAAAACTATCTTTGTGCAATACACCTTCTCATTTGTATAATTTTTTGAATTAAAGAATCGATTTTTAGTAAATTTGTTACAAAATAAGATTTATAAAACTGTCGTGAATCATATCATTAACTGTATTTTATTTTTCAGGATAACATTGTTATTAATTCATGTTTATATCAAATTATATTTACCGTAATACGTTATAACTAAATAATGTAAAATCTCTAAATTTTAATTAAATATTAATACTTGTATTTTGTACTTGCTGAACTGTATACGTTTTATAATTAACAAAAATGAAAATAATTTCCAAGTTAGTATTTTGTTTTCTAGAAAATTGAAATAATTATTGAAACAAATTTACACAGGACCCATTAAAATATTCACTTGCATATTTCATACCAACCTCAAGTTTAGCCTATCTTAAAAAATACCTTAAATAACAGTAAACAATCCATAAATTAATACTGAAATATTTCAAAGATAAAAATTATATTTCTTCGTATTCGAAACGTCAAAAATAACTATAGGTATACCAATCTTGTTCAACTTTGTTTTGTAGTTTACATAAGCTATTTTAAATTAGGCAAATACCTTGCAGAAAGTGATAATTTTTATAAGATTTATTCGAAATAATCAATAATTTTAGAAAACAGTAGCTTATTATTTTTAATCGATTTCTTTTAAAGTGAGGTAAATACAATTTTATTACATTTTTAATAACCTTTTCATTAATTAGAGTAATGATTAATAATTGTTATATTTTTAATTTTAACCAATACACAAAATACAAACAAAAACCAATACTAATTAAATAACCGTTGGCTATTAAGTTCTATTAACGGTCCGTTATCTTATATTAACTTAACTAGTTCTTAGGATAATTAGAAACTATGCAACACTTACCTCTAATTTTGTCATACGATAGCTCAGCTCAACCAATCGTTTAGTACCTAACAAATTCATGGCAACTGAAAGTTTAAGCGCTTCGTCGAACTTAACGGTGGCTGCCGAGTGGAACACAATAGATACGTTATTAATTAACGTATTTTGATCCAATGAACTGATGCCGAGTTCGTATTTAGTGACATCACCATTAATCGGCACTAATTTTTTTAGGGATTCGGGTTGATTTTTTCTCACCCAATCAAATATCTAAAAGTATTTGAAAAAAAAAATAAACGAAAAATTAAAGTACCAAAAAATTGTAATTGCAATATATAAATATTACGACGAATACACAAAGTACTATAAAAAATCGAATACCTATCTATGCATAGGTTTGTTTTCAGATTGTTTTTTTAGTTAATTTTCAGCCAAGCTAAAAATACTGTGTAACTACGAATTGATTTTACTGTATAATAAATTTAATATCGAAAAACCATTATTTTCCATTTAATAATAATATTATTATACAGGCACAAAATACCAATATTATAGCTTTTATTTTATGTATATTTACTTTTTCATTTTTATTTGGTAATCAGAAAACACGAAATAAAATAATGTAAAACGATTTCAAAGTTATACAATATTCTAATCTACATTATTAAAGTGAATAAGACTGAACACAGGCCAAATATTAAACGTGAATGTAAACTAAACATTAGTTAAGAAAATAATTTATTAAATATATTATATGTAGTAAGACCATAATCGGAATAAAAATATCAACGAGTGCTGCCAAACACTGAGTGTTATTTTCAAATTTAGCACGCGTTTTGGATGAACTATGATAACTATATATTATATTATATAGATCGTAATATATTATTTTTATCATTCCTCAATCACACGAAAGGTATAAAAGATGATCTCGGTTATTTTTAAAAATGTTAAAGATACACATGCGGCATGCTACATTGCAATTATAATTTAACTATGCAAAGATGAAAATTATTTAAACATCGAACGATATAAACCGAAATAGTTAATGAAAGAATCAAAATCACGATAAGAAAAAAAGCATTTCGATAAATATAACACACAATTATTATTACTGTAATTATTGATATTATCATTTACCGCAGCGTTGAGTAGCTGATCCAGCCTAGACTTGATGTCGTGGCCTTGTTTGGGCCTGATTAATAGGTATATACATGCAATGTTCGGACACGAGTGCAGCAACTTTTCCACCAACACCTTGCCCATGAACCCTGTGCCACCAGTGATGAGTACATGACGACCGCGAAAGAAGTCCGATATCGGGCTGGACGTGCTGGCCATTTCGATATTTTCCGTCACACAACTGAAAAATAAAAACGAAACGAAATTCAAACATAATCGTGTACTTATTATAATTAGCGTATCAGTATGACTCCGAACCAACAAATAATACAAAAAGAGCTGCAGTAAGCCGATGATTATAATATACAAAACGAGCGAAGCAAGGTAAATACGTTGTTTTCTGAGACGATAAAAGAGTGAGTGAGAAACGAAAAGAGCGATAGACGGTAAAAATCCTTTTTACGTCCTTTTAACTGTGACATTATATGCGTGACGTACACGTGGCGCGTACGAGAACTTACACCGTCCCTCCGGATCGTATGATACGAGGCAACCACCACCTATATAGGTACTTATCGTCGACGATGACGAAATCCTGACGGTAAGTCCGGCGTGTTCTCGGATAGCCATAGAACGCATCCCGGAAGTTGGGACCGTCTCAGAGGTGAATCGGAGAGGTATATTAAAATAATATGTAAGGGTGGGAAGTTCACGAGTTATAAATTTGGCGGAAAAAATACACGTACACTGCGATGAGTGATGACCAAACGTGCATATAATATAAATAAATAATATATTTATCATTAGATAACAATAATACGTAATAATAATTATTATTAATATTTACTGTTAACGATATCGTCGCCGGTTGTCGTTGTGGTTAATATAATAATTTATTATTATACAAACAGCAACGGGTGGCCCTCTCGTGAGTGGTGCGACGCTAAAACAATAATATTAAACACGAGCGCGGACGGATACGACGGATGCGAGACTGCCGCAACGTACCTCTGTGTACGACTTGTGAACCGACCAACGCGCCGACGGACGGTTAGACGAGAGCCGACGGCAGGACAACACGATGCGACGGCGGCAGCGGTGGCGGCGACGACTACGACACTCCACGAGCAGTACACGACGTGACGGTGTGTGTGTGTGTGTGTGTGTGTGTGCGTTTGTGTGCGCGCGCGCGTGTGCGTGTAGATACTCGATGCGCGCCGTATGGTGTAGCAGCGACCGTACAGCTGAGACCCGCCGAGAGAGCGTCAGCCGTCGACGTCGCATACTGCGGCCAAAGTGCGCGTGCGTGTCGCGCCTCGTGTCGGTGTGTGTCGGCGCGCTCGTATGTGTGTGTGCGCGTACGCACTCACGACCCCATCCCGGCGGCAATGGTAATTCGATAAAGGGGCGGGCGCGCTCGCCATCCCGCGTTCCGCGGGGCGCGAGCGGTGGCGGTAGCGGAACGGAAAAAAAAACCTAGGAGCTACCGTGCCTTCCCCTCTCGCCCGAGTAACGTCGCGTCATCCCACGCCGAGGTGGCGTTGGCAGTGTCTTCCCCTATCGCGCCAGCCAGTCGGCACCTCCCCTCATTCTGGGCTGCATCGAGCGGCAGCGGTGTACGGCTGTGATGTGTAGTCGTCTCGGCTGGAGGAGCGGCCCGACGTCGGGGCGGATATGGGTGTGGGTGTGGTAGTAGCGTCGCGACGTGTCGATAAATCTGTGGGTGGCAGGATAAAAGTATATGAGTGTGTGTGTGTGTGTGTGTGTGTGTGTGTGTGTGTGTGTGTGTGCCCTGAGACTGCGAATAAACATCTACCACCACACCGGTTAACCTGTACAGTGTTGTTTTCGCGTATACCGCGACGCCCGCCTCCCCGACCCCTCAATATGTATAGGAAGGTGTAGGTAAGTGTAGGGGAATCGCGGAAAACCCGAGCCTGCCGCCGCTGTCTGGTTTTGAAAAACATCCACTCGGCGTCGATGACCTATAAATACGTTGTTATTATTATTTACATAATAATTATGCGTCTGAGCGTGTCCCGCGAGTTGTTAGCGCTTATTACAACCGCGTATGCCTTTATTCCCACTCCGGGGGAGGGGGTGGGTTAAACATCGGTTACGAGTTTTGTCCGAACGGTTTTTTTCTAATCGCGATTTTCCAAAGGGATGAGACAGAAGTTATTTTTTTTTCTGCCGGAACGCGGTTCGAGAGTAAAAGAGTACTGCGACTTTGTAAACGCGACGGTACGAAAAATCGACCCCGTCCCGGTACCCGCGGACTGCAGTGCGTCCGAATGCCTCCGAAAGTCATCCCTCTACCCACAGTTCTCACATGTATATATATATATATATATATATGCGCTTCGCCAATCGACTATGATATTAGTTACTGTAATTACTTTGTATTACGCTACCATTGTTTGTACCTTTTACAGTGTACTTGAGTATATTTATAAGGAATTTAACATCGACGTTTCTTTACGTAAATCAAAGGTCAATCAGATAAATTAATATAAACCGTTGTAAAATATTTAACAATTATTCACTGGAGCAGGGTTTAAACCATACCAACTGGCAACTCATATGATAATCCATCACACGCAATCGTGGTTAATCTATAAACATAGTTCCCTCATTGTTAAAAACCCAATGAGATCCAAATGAGCGAAGGTTTACAAGAAGTGCTAGTAAACACCAAGGAAAGAGAGATTGACGAAGAGAAGATAATGTTATTTTTAATCGAAAAATAATGTAATCAACTAATATGCAATTTAAGTTCTGATTTAAATATTTCATTCTATTGTTATTGAATAGGTACCTAATCAAATAATCAAAATAGAATAATCGTTTCAATGAAGATCGCAATAAAATTATATTATATTTGTATATAACTCTTAGAAATACGACACTGTCCGAAATGTTTAGAGTACCTATACATGTATATTGTATATGTTAGCGACAATGTGTATAATACTGGTATTTTATGAAATGTCTAGAAACTCTGTATAATACCAACTACAGTCGGCAATCTATATAATTGCTTAAATCACTTAAACATTATATTATGAAATGCCAAACAATGTATAGGTAATGTATTAAATCCATGTTATCAGTATTAATATTTGACAATGTACCTTCATCTGGATCTGCACAAGGCTTTATTAAATATTCATGTTCAACAGGATGTCAAAATAACCGATGTGAGTGTTTAAAAAATAAAATTCGTTGCAATTCAAAATATCATCCTAATTTACAATGTTGTAATAAATAAATTTAACTTCTTTTTATTAACCTTAACATATTAAATATATTTATTTATTTTTTTTTTTTTGTAATAATAGGATACTTCTAATAATATTTATTCTGTCTTAACGAAATTTGAAATAAATTTAAAAAAGTGTATAGTATTTTTTCCTTATAAGTTATAAGTACCAATATTTTGTATAGATTTTTATATTTTCTAGATTCTAGATTTTAGAATAATATGGTAGTAAATAGTAATAATAATTAATGATTGTGTACTACCAATACAATTTATAAATTAATTTTTTTGTTTCATTTTTATACATTATATTTTGTTATATTAAATTGGTATTTTGTAATAAATATCGTTTTGTGTGTACTTATAAAATTAATTGTCTTTGTTTTGATAAAAGGAAATTGATTTTTTTTGGATTTTTCCTAATGATTTCTTTATTCTATAGATTACTAATTTGTTGTATGTCATTTAATTAAATTCCTAATTATTATATAAAATATTTAGAAAATGTATGTTAAAAAAATATACTCTTTTTTAATAATCATCAGGTATTATATAGAATTTCCAAGGCATTTTATATATTAAATATATTATACATGTTGCCGCTAATATAACACTATATTATACTTGTACATATATAATATATTATATATTAAAAATAAGTTTTTTTTAACATAACAGTTCTTTAAGTTCTGCGTTATTCATTCAAGTATAAGAACAAAGTATTCAAACAATTATTTAATATTACTTATATTACTTAGATTAATTATTAGTTATGCTATTTTTAAAAAGGAACATTTTAGTATTTTACTTTAAATTTAATACGAAATTAATTTTACGTACTATAGTATATATTATTACACTATATGGATATTACTTAACAATTATATAATTGTGCTGTGACTTGTGAGTACACCAATGCAGTTAATATTATTATTTTCAGACAGGAATGAATAAGAACTTAACTGTGCTTTTATTAATTTTTTCCATTAATGCAATTCCACAACTAAGTATCAATCCATGAGCCTCTGTAGGTCTTAATTAAAGTTTGTTATTAATAATTAATAGTCAATATTATTGTTAATAATAACTATAGACCTAATAATAATAACTTACAACTAAACAAATGTCAAATTAAATTAAATTTGTTAACTAACAAAAATATGTTGGTATGTATTTTATATTTAAATTTCATAGTTGCGGAATAGTTATTCTTATCTTCTATAATAGGCAATACGAGACTATGAGTGGAATTCAACGTTAAATTATTCACTACCTATCATACCTGCACAATATACTAATCAATATAATATTATCTATATTATAGTTATTTTTAAGTATTATCAATAAATACCTTGTACAGTTCAAAATACGAACATATTTTTAATTTTAAGACACTTATTTTAAACCATATTTTTGATTAATTTTAATGCTGTAATGAAAAGTTTCTTCTTGTATTATTCGTATTTTGTCATCTAAATAATATAATGTTTCTAATTACGTACTTAATATTATATTATTATTTAAACATTTTTTTATACATAAACATATAAAGTTAAACACGATATAAAAATGTAAATAAATATATCAGGTTTATATTAAGTAATACTAAAATTCTACGGTAGGATGTATAATATTGTTAATTAGGTTCAATAACAAAATATATTATAATATAAAATTAAAACAATGATGCTAAAAAAAAAATGCAAAATTCATGCTTTTTTATTTATACATATACATAGGTAATTTTATGAAAAACAATATTTCCATAAAAAAAAAAAAAAATACTAAAAAAATCAATCTTTAGATTTTTTATTTCAGTAATCTACTTAATTTAACGTTTTAAAAATATTGGTGCAAATAAAAACGGTTTGATCGAGCAATAACCTCACCCGGCTTACTAGGTTCTGACATAACAATTGGTTTTTAATCTGTGACCTACTTGAAGTGGTTTAGCATAAAACAAAATCAAGGAATGTATT